AAAAAAAAAAAAAAAAAAAAAAAAAAAAAAAAAAAAAATTGTACAAGGCGCAGAACCTTCAAAGAAAGGAAGACCCAGTGCCCCAGGAAAAGCTATGACTTCAGAGTTAGGGTCTTGGGACCACCGGCAGCTGTGTGGAGTGCGCGTGGGTGGAAATGCGATCGGACAAGCGTGTGAGGCGCGCTCAGGCAGCGAGGCCGTCTGTTCGGATTCCTCCGCCTCTGCGGCTTCCTTGCTCCAAGGTGCGGGGTGGAATCCCTTGGAATGAGGCTCTTGAGGCAGAGGGAGAGCGTGATCTTTCCAGGGTTACGGTTTGTTTGGGGGAGAGGGGACCCGGTTCCTACAACCTGTGGGACGCCAGATCCTGCTTTCGGAGACTGCGCGCTCATGGTGCTGCGCAGGCTGCTGGGTCCCTGCGCTCAGCTTTCAGCTTTCGTTTTCTGAGTCCCAACAGCCTCGGCTGCGCGGAGCTCACTGTCCGGAATCTTGGCCTGCTGTTCCTGACGGCAGCTCTAAAGACCCTCCCCACGGCGATGCTGCAGCCGCCCGTGTGTCCGCAATCGCATCCATTCATAGCTCTCCGTTCAAGTCTTCCCTCCTCAGACTGCAGCGTCTTCTCTCTCCCCGTCTTTGTGTGTGTGTGTGTGTGTGTGTGTGTGTGTGTGTGTGTGTGTGTGGTGCAGGGGATGAAACTGGGCCTCTACGGTGCTAGGCAAGTGCTCTGCCAGCTGAGCCGTGCCCCAGCCCTAGCCCACCTATGTACCTTCCTTCCTTCCTTCCTTCTTTTCTTGTTTTCGTTCTCTCTTTCTTACTTTCAATTTTTTGTTTTTTTGAGACAGGGTCTCACTATGTAACTCAGGCTGGCCTCAAACTCGCAGCGATCCTCCTGCCTCAGCCTCGCAAGTGCTGGCATTGCCGGCGTGGGCCACCATACCCGGCTATTTTTAATACAAAATTTGGACACCACTCATCAACGGCACTGTCCCTCGCAGATAGATCATCAGCCACTTTCCATCCTTGGGCCCTTCTAACCGCATTCGGAACCCCAACCCCTTTCTGTCATCCCAACCCCTTTCGGCCCCCTTGCGTGTGACCCTGATGCCGCGTGTGACGTGCACGAGAGATAGAGTCCAGGATCTTGAGTAGGTCAAGCAGAGAACAGCAAGTGCACATCCGAAGGTCAAAAGCAAAAGCAGATAGGCGTACTGAGCATGACCGGAAGATGTGCTCCAGTTCGCGCAGAAACAGGAAGTGGCGCGAAGGGGTGTCGAGGCGCTGAGGCTCAGGTGAACCGGGAGAAGGAACTAAATCCGGCTTTCGGATTTTAGAAGATGTGGACCCAGCCCCAGGTGCCTCTCACCTGATCTCCCTGGGTGAGACAAACAGGGGTGATTGGCAGGGGGCGGAGTCATCTCAGGGGCTCTAGGCCCGAAGGCTTCTCCTAGGGTGCACTCTGTTTTAATCACACGCGTGACAGGCTGCTTGCACACCAGTCCTTAACAAAGCTCAGTGGGGAAAAGGTTCCGAAGGTCGGGCTGCGGGACCGAACGCACACATGCAGTGGCCTGGAGCGTGCAGATTTCCTGGGTCTCTGTTTTTTGGGGGGGATGGGGGTGTTTCGGTACTGGGAATCCAACTCACGACCTTGTGCTTGCTAGGCAGGCGCTGTGCCGCTGAGCTAAATCCCCAGCCCCTACTGGGTCTCTGTTATTCTCATTTCTGCTTCTCTTAGGACAGTGGAGCAGGATTGGCCCTGGGTATTGCCCAAACTCAGGTGGATGGAGGGGGAGTGGTCTCCCAGCCCAACAGTGCTACCTGTACAAAGCCTTTTACCCAGGTCAGCGGGATTTTTGGGGAGGGTGGTACTGTGGATGGAACCCAGGGGCGCTCTATCACTGAGCTTTATTCCCAGTCCTTTTTTCACTTTTTAACTTTCGGACAGGGTCTCGCAAAATTGTTCAGGCTGGCCTCCAACTTGAGATCTTCCTGCATCAGCCTCCCAGGTAGCTAAGATTACAGGTATGTATAGCCACACCCTGCTAGGTGCAAACCATAACCGCAAACCATAGAATTCATCTATCTTAAGCAAAATGGAATTTTAATAGTACACGTTATTTATTTTTTATACTTGGAGATGTTGTCAGTATGTAGCATAGGCTGGCCTTGAATTCACTGTTACTCAGGCATAGCTGAAATCCTCTTGCCTCAGCATCCTGAGTGGTAGGATTACAGGCATGTTTCACCACACCAGGCTCAAGTGGGGACTTTTGGGTTTTTGTTTGTTTTTTTTCCAGTACCAGGAATCGAACTCACGACCTTGTGCTTGCCAGGCAGGCGCTATGCCACTGAGCTAAATCCCCAGCCCCACATTTTTGTTTTGTTTTATATTATAGTACTAGGGATTGAACTCAGGGGTGCTCTATCACCAAGTGGTACCTCCAGCCTCTTTTATTTTTTAATTATTTATTATTATTTTTGTCTTTTTGAGATAGGGTCTCACTGTGCAGTTCAGACTGGCCTTGAACTCGAAGCAATCTTCCTGCCTCAACCTCCTGAATGCTGGGATTATAGGCATGCACCACTGTACTCAGCTCTTAATGTTTTTTCTCAAAAATGGCCTTCTAGTGAGGTATGGTGTGCATGCCTGTAATTTGAGCACTTTTGGAGGCTGAGACAGGAGGATCAAAAGCTCAAACCCAATCTGGGCAATTTAGCAAGACCCTTCCTCAAAATTTTAAAATGGTGGGGGAGGGAAGGGAAGTAAAAAGAATTAAGATGTGTTGTGTGCAAGTACCAAGTCCCCACCATGAATGCAATCAGAATGTACAGCAAATAGATGCTAATAAGAAAATTTTAAAAAGAATGAAGATGAGAAAGGGCTGGGGATGTGGCACAGTGGCAGGGTACTTGCCTAGCATGTACAAGGCTGTGGGTTCAATCCTCAGTTCTACAAAAGCAGCAACAAACAAAACAAAGCAGCTTTGTTGAGTAATAATGGGTCATCAATGAGTTGTACATGTTAAGAGCATGCGACGTGAGGAGTTTTGACATAGTGTACATTCATGAAATTAACACCACAACCAACAGAATGCATCTATCCATCACTCTCCCTGAAAATTTTCTGCAAAATGTTTTGGTTTTGTTTTTATTTTTGTCTTTTTGAGACAAGGTCTCGCTATGCAGTTTAGGCTGGCCTTGAGCTCACTTGGTAGCCCAGGCTGGTCTTGAACTTGCAACGATCCTCCTGCCTCAGCCTCCCAAGTCCTGGGATTACAGGCGTGCACCACCACTCCCGGCCGTTTTCTGCAAAATGAAAGAGAGAATAATGTATTTTAACGTTTCAGAGTACTGAAAGGTCATTGGTATGGTTCCAGATTCCACACTACAGTTAACTCCTAAGAAATTTCTGCCGGGCATGGTGGTGCACACCTGTAATCCCAGCACTCAGGGGGCTGAGGCAGGAGGATCGTTGTGAGTTCAAGACCAGCCTGGGCTACCAAGTGAGCTCAAGGCCAGCCTGAACTGCATAGCGAGACCCTATCTCAAAAAGACAGAAAAAAAGAAATTTCTTTTGCTGAGTTTTGGGGTCATGTTGAAGGATATTCACAATACTACAAAAAAGAGCTATTAAAATAACTCCTTACTTTTTCAACCACATTTCTATGTGAGGCTGGATTTTATTGATATATTTCAACCAAAACAACATATCCAAGCTGGGTGTGGTGGCACACGCCTGTAATCCCAGCACTCGGGAGGCTGAGGCAGGAGGATCGTTGTGAGTTTGAGACGAGCTTGGGCTGTAAAGTGAGCTCAGGGCAAGCCTGAACTGCACAGCGAGACCCTGTCTCACAAAGACAAAAAAAACCAAACAAACAAAACAATATATCCAACAGGCTGGAGGCTGAGGCAGGTAAGAGACCGTCTTCTCTTGAATTAAGTATTTCAGAAGTCTGGAAGAAATGTAAAACAATGCTGTTCTTGTTAAATTTCTTTTTCCAGTTCTGAGGACTGAATCCAGGCCTCTGCACTGAACAACATCCGTCACCCCTTTTTTATTTTTAGACAGGATCTAGCTAAGTTGCTAAATTGGCCAGGCTGGGCTAAAAAGTGGGATCCTCCTGCCTCAGCCTTCCAGAGTGCTGCGATTACAGGTGTGTACCATGAGGCCTGGCTTTTCTTTTTGTCTCCAGTACTGGGGATTGAACCCAGGGAGCACTGAGCCACATTCTCAGCCCTTTTTTTCCCCTCAGGTCTTTAAGGTTTTTTGCTTGTTTGTTTGTTTTTGATCTGAGACAGGGTCTCTATGCAATTCAGGCTGGCCTTGAGCTCCCTTTGTAGCCCAGGCTGGTCTTGAACTTGCAACAATCCTCCTGCATCAGCTTCCTGAGTGCTGGGATTACAGGCGTGCACCACCATGCCCAGCTGTTTTGTTTCTTTAAAACAGTGTGTTTTTACTTTGCCCTGTCTGGACTTGAATTCTCCTGCTTTAGCCTTACAGGTAGCTGGGGTTACACGCATGCGCCACCATGTCTGGCTATTGTTAAGTAGGTATTTTTTAAATTTCTCAACTTTGCTGGGCATGGTGGCGCATGCTTGTAATCCTGGCACTCAGGAGGCTGAGGCAGGAGGATCATTGTGAGTTCAAGACCAGCCTGGGCTACAAAGGGAGCTCAAGGCCAGCCTGAATTGCATAGTGAGACCCTGTCTCAAAAAGACAAAAAATAAATAAATAAATTTCTTAACTTTAATATCTAATTTGATAAATAGAAATTAATATAATCCACTTGAATTAAAGATCTTTGGCATCTTCAAAGATTTTTAGCAATATGAGGAGGTCTTAGACAAAAAGAATTTGAGCTGCAATTATACAGCTTTGAGCAAGCTCTCTGATCCTTAGTTACCTCATGTTTAAAGACAAGATTCCTTTTTTAATTTTGTTTTGTTTTGTCTGTTTGTTTTGGTTTCTTGAGACAGGGCCTTGCTTTGCAGTTCAGGCTGACCCTGAACTCCCTATATAGTCCTGGCTGACTTTGAACTTGCAGCGATCCTCCTGCCTCAGTCTCCTAAGTGCTGAGATCACAGGCGTGCGCTGCAGTTGAGGATTTCATCCTCGTAGCAGCCTTGTGAGTGGAGTCAGGAGGAGGGTTAAGAGCCTTATTTCTGCAAGAAGAGGCGAGGCCTGAAAAGCTCGGGGGCGCTGCCCACAGTGGTGGATGGCAGGGAGGGTGAGAAGCCCAGACTCGGGGGCCTGTCTGGTGTTCTGTCGGAACTGGACGTTAGGAGATGGAAGGCTTGGACACTGGCGGATGCCCTCCAGCCTCCCGCACACCCAGCTGGAGGACACAGAGCCTCCTCCTACCTCAGCCACCCTTGGGCTCTCCCACCTCTCAGCTGGGACCAAGAGAGTAGGCAGCTTGCTGGGTGTGGTGGCATAGGCAGGAGGATCACCTGGGCTGCATGAGTGATCTCAAGGCCAATCTGGACTACATAGCAATGGTATGTAGTCCATTGGAGCGATGGTGCTGGGGAACGTAAGGCTGTCTTGGGAAAGAAAAAGTAAAATTTATTTAAATTTTTAAAAACACAAAAAGAGGGCTTGGGATATAACTCAGTGGCATAAGTGCCTGCCTGGCAAGTGCAAGGTCCTGAGTTCAATTCCCAGTACTGAAAAAAAAAAATTAAAAAAAAAAAAAACCCAAATACAAAAAGAGAAGGGACCCAGCATGGTGGCACATGCCTGTAATCCCAGCACTAGAGAAGCTGAAGCAGGAGGATCCTTGAGAGTTCGAGCCAGCCTGGGCTACAAAGTGAGCTGAAGGCCAGCCTGAGCTGCATAGTGAGACCCTGTCTCAAAAAGACAAGAAAAAACCCCAAAAACAAAAAATAAAAAGAGAACGGGCATCTCTTCCTGTTCGTCACCCTTGCATCTGTGGGCCCCCTGACCAGCAGACTTTTTCCCTCCCCTCCCTTCTCCTCTTCTTTTCTCTCTCTCTCAGCTCCACTGAGATACGGTTTCCATGCAGTAAAAATCACTCACATGAAGCGTATGCACTGCAGCGAGCCTTGGCTCATGCTTGCAGCCTTACGTTCCCCAGCACCATCGCTCCTGGAGCATTTCATTACTTCCCAAATGTCCCTCGAGCCCCCTGGCAGTCACTCTTCTGTTCCCAGGCAGCCCCGGGTCTTCCTCCGTCACCACTGAGTTATGCAATCACCCGCCCCTGGCTGCTTGGGCCCAGGGTAACGCTTCCGAGAGCGAGCGAGCTTTCATGTGCCAGTAGTCTATTCCTTGCTGTTGCTTGGTAGCGCTCCACTGTACGACATACCATAATATGTTTATCCGTCCACTCTCGGTGGATGTTTGGGCTGATTTCAGGGCCTGGCACATGCTGGGCATGCACTCTGCACTGAGCTACACCAGCCAAAGCTTTACTTAATTCATTAACAAGTGCGAAGCTGAGTCAACAGCGACCATGTGTGTAGTCAAGGGAGAAAAGAATGCTAGCGTAGGGCTGCAAGGTTGGCCACGGAGTCTGTCAGACACTTTTTTTTTTCTTTTCTTTTTTTTTTGGTCTTTTTGAGACAGGGTTTCGCTGTGCAGTTCAGGCTGGCCTTGAGCTCACTCTGTAGCACAGGCTGGCCTCGAACTCATAGTGATCCTCCTGCCTCAGCCTCCCAAGTGCTGGGATTACAGGCGCGCGCCACCACGCCCGGCTGTCAGACACTTTTGACACCATCTTTTTTTTTTTTTTTTTTTTAAATTTAATTGTACGGTGTCCTTTTATTCTCAGCAACAGAAAGGCTTCCCTCCTGCAGACTCTGAAGTCTCAGGGCAGAGGAGAGCAGGCCTCTGCCGACCAAGCATGGCAATGGCAGTGGCTCCACAAAGGTGAGCTGACATAGGGCTCAAAGCAGTGATGTAAGGGGAGACTGAGTCACAGGGCAGCCCCGGGCGTGTGCCAGTTAAGGAAGAGGCCGTT